GCAGCTCACCTGTAGGAGAATCACAGAATTGGGCTCCAAAGACTAGCTAAAATTAGGTGGCTTTTTGTATGGGAAAACAGACTCATCTAAAGATGTTTTTGGGGGAACCAATCCTGACAATAGAGATAATACATTCCTATCCATTTCTTAAGTACTAGAAGTCCGAATTTCTATTCTTTTTCAATTGAGTTCCAGGAGCCCCAATCATTCTTCTTATCTGGCGCCCTCAGTTTCTCATTCTGCCGGAGGGAGGGGGCACCCCACCCCCCAAATTGTTCCAGTGCTCGGACTACATATGAAGGCCAGAGCAGCAGCCTGTACAGAAGGTTGCTCATGCTGCGGGGAATCGGAACAACAGGCACCTGTGTAGTTCCTTGCGAGGGTCAATGATTCCACGCAGAATTCAGAGGACGCCCCACGCGCCAGCGTCACGATACGCCGCATCCAATGCGATGGTTGTAGATCGGGGCCAAAGTTAGGAGGACGCTCCACAGGTTCTACCTGGTCGTCCTGACCCCTCTGCCGCTCACCCCTCCCGAAAGCCCCTGCCCGGCGCCACATAGGTTGCCGCGTTCAGTCCTTGCAGGTTAGGCCCTGCCCTCGACTTAAGTCAGCGCAGGATTATGCTGGGTACCCCAGCGTGGCAAGGGTGGACAAAGACACACATGGTTCCTCTGCGGCATTGCCTCCCCAGCTGCGTATAGTCACTCTTACACAACGGCCTGTGTTGTATCTAGCGCTTGTATCCCCATCCATAAAACAATCAGAGGCATGTTGCACTTTCCGGCAGCTTGAGCCTTTGATCTTTCATGTCTCCGATGTGCTCCAGGACATGGGATAAGCTTCAGACAAGGCTTTTGCAGACAGTGGCTGCCACCACTTTGCTTCGCTATGTCAGCCTTTGTGCAGCGGCACCTTGAACAGGGGTATGAAATTGGCTAACTCTCGCAGGTTCACACGTTAGATGTGCTTTCGTCCTTCGAGGCCCCAGACCAACATACGGATGAGGGAACCCCACATCCCATGGTGGGACTAAACGTGCTTGAGGCGCTCCATTGGCTGATCAAGACTTTTTCAGTATCCTTTCCTGTCACGACTATTTCGCACCGGCCTCGCAAAGGAGCGCTTCCGCTGCCTTTGGATTTGTGCTTATCTTGCAGCGGGAAAGGCGTGGCAGCGGAATTCGCTTTCACATGTCTTGGCAAGACCTCCACGCAGGACGCACCTTTCCAAGCTCAGGGTCACAATATGTATTCGGATCACTCCTAGCTTGAGGTTTGGCTTGGGTATCTTGAGCTGTTCTGGGATTTTTCTGGATTCACGGATTCCCGGCGCTCTGCTGGACGGTCTTCTTTTCGCTGCGCATTTCTTTGGGGCCAGTGGCCAGTGGCTCTGAGGGTCAGGACTCCGGCCTGTGTTTGAGCTTGTCATATGGCTTCACTTTGCTTTGCCTTCGCAACTTCGCACATTGCTTTTGACGTGGCGGCGCTTTACTGAATGCCGTTTATCTTTGCTTCACTCACGCAAAGTTTCTGTACTGTCCTGGCTTGGACAATTGCGGCTACCTGACCGGATAAAGAAAAACCGGTACATAAATCTGATGGAATAAGGGAGCTTCCGCCCACGAGCTTCCGCGTAGTCCCCTGCAAAGACTGTTGGTAGGTTTTCCGACGCTGTGCTCTTCCGCGGACGTTTTCGTCGAAGGTGCTTCTCCGGGGCCTCCGCCCCAGCTTAAGTTCCTAACGATCTATGTCCATAATCTTCTGATAGGAATTCGGAGGATTGAAAAAGGAGCTTCCGCAAGCGAAGTGCTTGCGTGAAAGCTTCCGCGAGCTTGTGCGCCACAATGGGAACCACTTTTTCGGAGTTTGCCGGCCGAATTCCAAAGTTATTTCCGTACCTTAGTAGAAATGTTCTAGCGCCCATTTTTTAACTGCTTACCTGAAGCTGATAGACTCCCATATGGCCACGACGGTGTACACATGCCGTTGAACATTTGCTTTCAGAAGTCCATTTAGGCCTGTGTCCTACTCAACCGCAGCACCATGGCGAGCAGGCTAAAGTCGCTCAGAATTCGATTTTCGTCCTTTGTTAGTCGAGGGGGTCCATGGCCTCGCTTTAGGAAGAACCGGCTTTGGATGCCAGACATCACCGCCGTCTGATGCGGGCATTGCTTTGGCAGCCGGCACGCAACCGTCCCTTGACGTGGCTTTGGAACACGCAGCAGCCTCAACCCCTGAATACTCCTGACCCTGCGCTTCCCTAGCCATTTTGCCCGTGACTACCACTTCAACTTCATCCTGATGGGGTCATATGGCTTGAATCTCGAAAGAACGGTCACTTGGCAATTGCTTTTGAGGCCTCTTGCACTTTGGTATTTTGGATGACACTCACTTTTGGCCAGCTTGCGGCACGATCAGGACCTTAGGCCTTAGCCAGCCCCGCTAACAAGCGAAGATAGCGCCGGCGCACCGCCATCCCAGGCAGGGTCATTGGGCTGCTCTTGTTTTCTATTGCCAGGTCTGATGACTCCTTTCCTGGTGTGATCTAGCTGCAAGCCCGCCCCGACATTGCATCGCTTCAGCTGACATGGCTGTCTTTAGTCGTCATTGCTCTTCGCTCATCCCATGCTTTACTTGATGTAGTTTTGGCACTGCAAGGATCTTCTGCGGTTGGGCACTGCTGGGATGCTGCGCGGACCTTCTGCGGTTGTAATGCTGGGATGCTCTTTGTTTGGGCACTGCTGGGATACTGCAGTTGGGCACCGCAAGGACTCTTTGCCGTTGCAGGGATATTCTGCGGGTGGCGCTAGGGATACTCTGCGGATGCACTGCTGGGACACTCTGCAGATATTCTGCGCTCCGGCACTGCAGGGATGCGACGGGTGCGTGCTGGCCCGCTGCTGATGATAAACAGGGGTCATGACATTCCATGCTGGTTCACAATTCAGGCAAGAGCCTGCCACTCAAC